CCTTTCCTTCCGGTCACCCAAAACATACTTAGACTGCAATCCTCTTGGTATTGAAAAACAAGAATCCCATTTGCAGCTTGAAATGTGTGATCTTCCAGCTGATGAATTCTTCCAAACCAGAAAGGACAATAAGGGACCAAATTTTTGCCCTCAAACTTCACACTGAACCTCGCACTGAACTGAATTAAAAAATTTTTTGTTTGTAATTTTGAACATGGTGGTGGCAAAATTTACATGACCACTTTAAGAAATATGCTTTTTTTGTCCATAATCTCTTGTTACATACATCAAACATTAAAGGATTACAGGAGGATCTACAGAGCCGAAATTAACAAGTACAAAAAACAGGCTAATGATAACCACATGAAGAAATCTTCCAACACTCAAAAAGCTGCATGGGACATCATACAGAACTACAACCCAGTAAAACAAAGATAAATTCCAAACAGTCTGCATGCTGACATATTTAACTCTTTCTTTAGTGATGTGGGTACTAAATAGTGAACAATTTACCACAAACTAGTGTGAATCCTTTAAAATTCCTTGAAAACTTCAATATTCCTGGAAACCTAAATTTCTCATTTAGGGAAATAACGTACAATGAAATAAGAGAGATTATTTCAAAACTAAAAAATACCTTGAGTAGGGACCCATACAACCTCAATTTAAAAATCGTTAAAACGGGGCAAAATATAATAATTTATCCCCTTTGTAAACTCATCAACCAGTCTGTGAACGAAGGCATATTTCCTGATTGCCTAAAAATTGCAAAGGTGGTTCCAGTCCATAAAACAGGTCCGACAGATGAGGTATCAAACTATAGACCAATCTCCATCATCCCAATTTTTGGTAACATTTTTGAAGCGGCGATGAAAAAACAAATACAGCAGTATTTTGAAGAGAACAACCTATTCAGCACTTGTCAATTTGGCTTCCGCAATGGCAGGTCAACTACTACAGCCATAAATTACTTGCTACAGTTTGTGAAGCAGGGGTTTGAATCTAAACGAGGCACAAATGTCTCTCTTTGACCTAACAAAGGCATTTGACTGTGTGAGCCATGAGTTACTGATCAGGAAACTTGCGAAGTATAAATTCGATGCGACCAGTATAGCAGTAATTCGTTCGTACCTCAATGATCGTACCCAATATGTTACACTTAACTCACTTAAATCCAAGAATGCAGCCGTGAAGATGGGTGTTCCTCAAGGATCTGTATTGGGGCCAATCCTATTTCTTGTTTTCATTAATGACCTGTCATCACTTTCAACAGCACCACATCAGTACCTAACTCTTTTTGCTGACGATACCACCGCCCTTACTACAGCTGACAGCAAGGAACTTCTGAGTAAATCGTGTAAGAAGCTACTGTCAGGAATAACCCAGTGGTTCACGAGCAATGGTCTAAGTATTAATGAACTGAAAAATCAATCCCTGTTACTGGGCCTCCATAATACAGATAAATCGCCCCCAGTGAAACTGTTGGGTATATATATCGATGGCAAGCTGACGTGGGCAGAGCACGCCTTGTACCTGTCCAGTAAACTGTCTAAAATGAACTACAGTATAAGAAATCTAAAGCCCAGAGTAACAAAGCAGGTCTTACTACAAGCATATTATGGGTACATCCACTCCACATTAAGCTACGCAGTACTGTGTTGGGGACATTCCGTCCATGCAGCTAAAGTGTTTCCGTCCAGCGCAAGTGCATAAGAATCATAGACAACCGCAAATATAGAGATTGTTGCAGAACATCCTTCACCAAACTTAACATCCTTACACTCCCATGTATATATATATTTACCTGCCTAACACACGCCAAGAAGGCCCTTCCAACCCTTCGTAAAAACAGTGATAAATCTCATTACAATGTACGGACTAAAAACAACCTTGTGGAAGACTGCTATCGGACGGTAAAAGGCCGAGACATTAACTATTACATGAAGAAATGTTACAATGCTCTTCCTGACTACATCAGGGATCTGGAAGAACAACAATTCAGAAAAACAATCAGAGTGTTCCTTGGTGCCAAAGCATTCTATAGCATCGATGAGTACTTGAACTACAAATTTGATGACTCCGAACAATAAAGTGGCAATTGTGCTTCCCTACTGTGACGTGTGGAAATATTTTCTGTATAAACAGCACCAATAAATATTATTATTATTAAACTCTATTGACCATAAGAAAAAATATGTTATTCATTATAGGGCGCTAAAGCGATTTTTGCACTACCAATTAATTTTGAAAAAGGATTGAATTTACCTAATCTCCGTGGTTAAGAACCCATATTGATTTAAGCAATTATTGTGAAATCACCAAATTGGGTTCTGAGACCATATAAGAACTTTGGCATTTTTTGGTAAAATTATGGAAAACAAAAGATGAATATTCCAGTCTCGATTCCGGTGTTCCCATCTCTAGTTTTCAAGGTGCAAGTTCAAAGACAGACACTGTGTAAAGTAAATGCAGGAGATTATCTTGATACTCAAAAACGTGGGCATGGGACCAATACTTCTTAACTCATTATAGTCCTAAAGAGTAAGCTTAAATTATTTATGTGTTTACAATATTATTTGTGATAATTATAATAAAATGATAGTAATCACACAATGTTTTATTGAATAATATGAGCGCCACAAACGCAATAAGTAGGTAGGTCTTCTGTTTTGTTCATTCTTAATACGCCATACGATTTAATAATCTGGCATATCAACAATTTCGGTACAGAGAAATAACCTCCCACCAAAAACCCCAGGGAGACCACAAACCTCCCTATCTATATTTATTTCAACACATCTACGCACAGTTTTTCGCGATTTTCTCTAAATTGTACTATAGCAAGGGTAATTAATATTTTGCATGTTTGAAAAAAGTAATTCCTCTTATCAAAAAATTTCGCAGAAGATATATGTCATTTAAAAAAATGGTCTTATCTGTTGCGCTTTTGTTCCAAATAAATAAAAAATTACATGTGATAAAAAATGAAATACAAAATAACTTTTATTTGAAACATTTTGTTATGAAATGGATATTTACATCGATATATACAATATTCCATCCTTTTCGGGCCCCTTGTATAGTGAAATTCCATCCAAACCAGTAACTTTTTTAGATTTGTAGTGTACTTAACCCCCAGGTTCTATGCTTCACTTTACACTACAAGAACAAGATGGAAAATTACATGGCATTGTGGAATCGCAACTTATTTATTGCCAGAGACTTGCCATAACAGTATGTTTATACACGCACATAGATTCTAAACCGAAGAATTTTGATTAGCATAATCTCGTCCCCGAGATATGTAACTCGCCTCTCGTTCGGGGTTTCGAGCCTTCAGTTGAATGTCGAATACAATCACGGAATTAGGTGTTGTAACTAATTTGATTCCAGTTTTTGCCTCCCCCGTGTCTGCTTCATTCGCGGAGAAAATGTTAGTTACAAACAACATGTCAGCACACACAAACAATTCTCATATTAAAAGAATGATCAAAATTTCTTCTGGTAAAGACTATGTAATTAAAACATAAACAAAAATTAAGCCAACGTTCCTTACACCAAAAGCGTAAACGATTTCAGACCAAAAGGTTAACGGAAACAAATGTGATTCTGCATTACAGTTCAATACAACTACAAACGCAACCAGAAAATTGCATTTGTCTGACTAGTCTGGAACTGATTTGACTTTACGAAACCACAGATATACGTAAAGAATATCTGTGACGAAACAACTGTTGTCAGTAAATTGTTTGACAAAATTGGGCTTTTGTTTCAACGCGAACCTAGTTGATTGATGATGACGTTACCAAAGGTCAATGTAATTGATAATGATTTGGGAACAATTTTACACAATACTATATGGTTTCAGAAAGAATCGCCTCAGGAAAATAGGTACATGTCTCGGTCGAATTTTGAATAATAATGAATCATGAATATAAATACCTACTAGTTAAGAATCAATAAAATTAATTTGAATTTGTAATGATCCTAGGGGCCCTCCAAGAGTACCTCCAATCCTGACTCTCCTATATAACAGTTCACAACTCGGGAGAAATCTACGAGCAGAACCACCTAACTGTCAAATCAAAACGACGACGTTTCGCGGCACTTTTGAATCTCGGCAGCAGTCGGCAATATGGTACGTTGTGTGTTGGGACGTGAGACATAATCGGGAAGGTATTTTAATAGAATGCAAAATTTTGTCCGTAAGAAAAGACAAGAACAGATAAATATACTATATACACACAAGGCGATACCAGGGAAACCTTCAGGACAAAAACCCCGGCATAATCCACACAAATACATAATTAGTGATTTCCAATTGCCCTATATCCACATGTCTTCCCGCATCATTGAAATCTGAATAACATAAATTTTTGCTTGGGCACGATGAAAGGAGAGTAAAAATAAAAAACTGAAGTAGGTGTATCATACACAGCACGTTTGACAGTATGTCAATGATACATGTTGCAGAAAATTAAAAATTTGATGAAAATATTGCATTTAAAAGGACATACCTGGTTAGTTTGTAAAGCAATATTGCATGCAAGGTATGAGGCTCTCTCTATCGTACTTGCGTTACTGCCATCTAATACAATCTCGCGCATTTAATTGGATAATTGGAGCAAGACGAATCTGAATAGAATAGATCATTGAAACGCAAGCGCGAATTGCATACGATGCAGTAAGAGCACTCACTCAAAAATTTAGCCTTCTATCATTCTTTGTATCCCTTTCCGATACCCTGCGTTTTCAATCAAATGTACGTAATTGAGATTTTCATAAAAAACATCATAGGCCTCCGCTAGCTTAAGTATCATTTTGAAACTAAACTTCCAACCTTTTCTGCATAAACAAAGAAAGCAAAAACTGTGTGTGAAAAATAATGGCAATGGTTTTCCTAGAGGTATAAGATGTAGCAAAACAGATTTCCTGACCTTTCTTCTTAGTATTTCCATTATTAAACAAATGTCTACAATATAACACACACATAGGCAAAATATTTTGTTGAACGTTTATTGTTGAGTAAATAAATAAAATATTTACAATATATTATATTCCTTAAAATATTTTGGTAACTCAACTATTTTATGGTAAAAAGGCAGGCATCTGTTGACTAAAATCTAAGCTTAAAATTAAAAATACTGACATATAAACTATTAACGGAAATACTGACAATATTAAACTCTAGTTTCTGGATCACAATACACATCGGCAATGTATTCTTCTGAATCTAAAGCGTTCTGTCGACTCAGAAAACTCATGCTCGGGGAACATAGGCTGTTAGCGCTAGCAGATGGCGTGCCATGTTGTAAACTATAAGATGCTACGGAATCGGCACACTCTGACATTGTGCGAGGTCTAATTTGCGGGTCACGGTACCAATTCGTGTGGGCCTCGTCGTTCAAACTGTTATCGCTAATGATTTCATCGTTTGACGATTTGGTAGGGCTAAACTTGTATATATCGCTAAAACTCTCCTTATATTTACAGTACTTTGGCGGTAAATGAATTTGGTTATCGGAACGAGCGGAAATAATAGCGCTATCGGTCGACGAACTTGAGGCCTCCACTTTCATTTCGGGACTCGTTAGCGGTGTGACTAACTGAGACACTAAAGGCGTACTTTCGGAATCACTTTCTTCATTTAGGTCGGGATTGGAATGTAATAGTTTTTCCCTTAATTTATTAAGAGATGTGGTTTTAGAGTGGCTATGTCGTCGACCATCGATGTCAATCGACTTCGATCTATGCCTATATATCGGTTTAGTTTCTTTTAGTAAATTTAATGAAATTGGCCTGGCCTTTTTATCCGCAGTAAGTATACTATCGGGATTAATAATCACGTGTTTGCTACCTCGTCGTTGTGTCACTGTGTCCCATTCGGCGCGACCATATTTTCGAGATCTTTCTCCAACTGGAAATATTTTTACTGTAGTTACTAGTGTGCATTACTGAGACGTGCTATGCTTGCAGTGCAGTGAAACTCAGAGAGTAGTTACTAGTGTGCATTACTGAGACGTGCTATGCTTGCAGTGCAGTGAAACTCAGAGAGAATAGCTAACCTGGTGACGAAGGCTGAGAATTTCCATGCGAACTGTGATCACTTAAACTTTCGGTATTACCATGAACAGATATGCTCACAGGTTGCCAATGCATAAAGCCAATAGGAGACGATTGTAACATTACATAATCAGTTTCCTCTACTCCAGCGGTACTTTGTGAACGTGATCGAACAAATTTTGTATCTATAATTATGATAAATTAATTGTTTTCTGTGAATATATATTACATGGTGATACATTAGACATATTATTGAATTCACCAATAACAATTTGCCAAAGGTAAATAATTAAAAAAAAGGAAAAAAAAATAACGTAATACTCGTTAAATTTATATTTTACAATATTTTACATTCGAATAAAATACAAAGTTATCCGTGAATTCAATAATCGGATAACAATAATATAATTTGAATACTTAAATGGCAATAGCTTAAGGCATGGTGGGTGATTGCATTATTAAGTACATGATATGTAAAATCGATTTTGAAGGATATGGGCAAACTCCACCATGCCAATAAATGACAGTGAAAAATTAAGTATAATAAATAAAGGTTTCATTTACTGAGATCACACAAATCTACTACATAAAATAGGTGAAATCAAACAAATATTCACTAACAAGAAAGTTTAAGCAGATCTTTTTCTATGCATTTGTGTCGACAGTAGAATTTGCCGTACCACTATTAGAACCTTCACTGTTAGACTTAAATGATTGTGATTCTAAAATAGTGATTGTGGGTTCAAGGTACGGATTTTCTTCATCTACATAAGCAACTTTTTTTGCACTTTTTTCATGGCCATCATGTTTCATGCTTAAACATGACTTATACATGCTAAAGTCAAAGTGAGGCAAAGATTCACCTTGGAGACCATCGGGACTAGGCGGTATCACTGACGTTTGCGGAATTTCCAGTTTGATATCTTCGGTTTCTTCCAGAACATCTTCGCAGGCCTCCTCGTTTAAGGTTTGTAACGCCCCACATATCATTTGATCCTCCAGAGTTATCTGAAACGGTTTCACTTTTTAGTGCAAAATTATCGCAACACATTACTATTAGTACCTGATGCTACAATCCAGTGGTTAGCATATTACAATTGAAATATTAGTACAGTTTGAAAAGAGAATGATAATGTTTTACTGCTATTGCAACCATGACTCTTTAGAGCTGTTATTTATTTAAATTATTCAAATTGTCGGCACTCCTTTCTTTCTGTTTTTCCCCATATATTCCGGCTATTGTAGGTATATTGCTGTTTATTTTGTCTGGCAGGATGAAATTTTGGAAATCATAATTAGGACGGACAAGGGCGGTCTCTTTTTTATGTAACTAACTTTCATAATTAAATTTTGTTATTTGTTGTTGGTGTATGTAACGACTTGGAAATTATTATTGTCATACGAGAAAACGGTCAAGGTTGATTTTGTTTATTTATTTTTATTTAACGTAGAATTTCCGGGAATTTTGTTTGCTTTTAATGCACAAGTGGATGTGATTTATCGCCTTTTCGGTGTAGTTAAAAGAGATGAATTTTTATTTTTCCTAGTATTTTTGTCTGATAAGAATTTGATTAGTAAAATTATTGGACCTCTATTATTTTAGTCTTTTAACGTAAATTGGGGGGATATTTTCTGTTGTCAAGTGTGTATGATTGGCTGTTATAATTTTTGATTTTTGGAAGAAGGGTTTCGCTTTAAACAAGATTCGGAAGAGGGAGAGCGTCGCTTTTAGCCACAGTCAACAAAGAACTACGTTTGTTGGAACATTGAAATCAGATTTTAAGCCAAGTTCAGGGCCCAAGTGCGGTCAATTTAAAATTCGCTGTACGCACAGTTTACGTAGTTATGTCTTGTTGAAGATTTAATTCGCTTTATGCAAATGTAAGCAGAACTACGTCATTGAAATTAGCTTTAAGCCAAGAGTCAGGGCGTTCGCGGCTAATTATTATTCTACGTTTCACGTTTGTTCATGCTGGAGGAGTGTCGTAAAGTTTTGACCATCTAATAAGGTGCTTCAAAGAAAAGAGGTTGTCGGCGCCCCCATGAGTGTGTTTTCAACGTGTGTTCAAAGTGTAATTGTTGAATTGAAATTTGGAATGTGTTTTGTGTACGTACGGATACCTTTTAGTTGGATTACAATTCTGGACATGTAATGTAATGTAAGTAAGTAATTAAGATTTAATTTTAGTCTTTGTGTAATAATTGTTTTTGTATCATTTTCCTGGTGTGTGTTAGAATTAAATCGCACTTTTGTAATTTTCACTTAATTTCCGTGTGTTTCATTCTAATGACTTCATTTCTAAGTCACCCTCGAATTCACCTGTGTTTGAATTGAATGCTTGCCCAAGGTCCATTTTAATTATTCAAAATTTTGCAGTCCAGTTTGGAGTTTAAGGTATTTGGATTGACCCACTATCTGTTAGAAGTTAACAGGTTAACTGAGAGCAGACTCAAATCTCTCCTCTGTGCTGGGGAGAAGTCTTGTACTGTGTTAAATAACAAAAGTAAAGAGCTAACTAGGGTTTTGTTTAGGTGTTTTGTGTACGGTCTTTCTGGCCTACGGACCAGTGCACACAGCATTATTATTTGGCGCCCAACGTGGGGCACCCAGCAATATATAACATGTGATCAGAGCCTAGCGCTTTGAATTTTGGAAAACGCAAACCCAATTTGAATGCGGGTTACTGATTTTTGAATGCTTGAGTGCTATAGTCAGGGTTCATGTACTAATCAGACATCTTGCTATCAAAGGCAGACTGTTATATCTTCAGATAAATATCATTACTTCAGCTTGAATGGTTTTTTCCATATCAGTCTGATTAACAGAGTGGTTTAAATTAGGTGATTCTACTCGTTATCTCTATCTCTGCTAGTATCACCTCATTACACACGCGAAAAACCAATGCTGTCTTTAATTACAATACGCGCTGATATAAAATTGTCAACCCTGTATGGGGAAGCGAAGCTAGTCATTATCTATACTTGTATGTGTAGATCTGTGTCTATACCAATGAATTACATATTGTCACATTAAATTACATTTGCTGATGTCAAAACATGTGTTTTGCCAGATGTAAACCTAATTGCGATAGCAGTAATCATGTTGCTATACAGTATGCTCCAACTAAATCCAGCTAACTTTCATATTATAAATCAGAAAAACAACCGAAATACGATTTTTGAACGGGCAGCCATGTATATTATTGTGATAGCATGCATGATTTTAGTTGTGTGTAAAAATTTTATTGATGTTTCTGATGTTTAATAGAATAATGTGGGCCCAATGGATGCGCAGGATTGTTTTATTGTAATTTTACCAGGGATTTGAATTGTATGAAATTTGTAGGTGTGTTACGAGTAACCAGCGACAATTGCTTCAACCATATTCAATCATTCCAGAAGCAAAAATTGCAAAAAATGAAACTTTGGTGGCTGCGGCCAATTTAATCAACATAAAAGTCTTGACCGAGTCTGTGAAGACACTCTATAACATACAATAAGAATTATTAGTTGTCAAGTTTGTTTAAATAACTGCCTTGTTTATTTAATTGTAAATTCAAAGTATGCATTCAAAAGATGAAGTTTTTTCTTTTGGTAAAAGTTTATCTCCGGTCGTTGCGATAAGAGTTGTTCTCGCTGCGCACGCTAATTAAATGTCGAGATTAAGACTGGTTTGATTTTTCGAAGACGCGCAGTGTAGTGTTAAGGAAGGAGAGGCGGCATTTGAGGAAAAGGAAGAGTTGTTAAATAGGAGAGACGGACGTTAAACGAGGTCATTGCGTTTGTTTGATGGTGGCTTTTTTTGTGGAAGACGTGAATCGCGATTTTTAAGACGTATTTTCCCGTTTACGAAAAAGTCTAATAGAGTGCTGTGGTTATCGAACGTTTGCCGCTTAAGAGAAGGTCTTCAAGTATATGTTAAAGAGAGTTTGTCCTCCGTCAAAGGGCCAATACTATACTTATAATTAGAACGAAGCCAGTGTCGTTTAGATCGATGTTTGAGTGCAATCGAAGAAGTGAACTTCCGAAGTATCATCATTTTGTGTCTGTTTGAAAATCGCAGTTTCGACCGGAGATTTTGCATTATTGGCACTTTAAAGTAAGATTTGCTTTAATTAATTGTCTATCGGTCGCTTGTTTGCGTGGTAGGATTCTGGCCCTGAGTGCCTATTTTTTTTAGGCCAGATTGTTTTATGTTCAATAAATTTGTTTCATCTGTACATGATTGGTTTTGTGATTCAATCCAAACTGACGACCTAGAGAAGAGTGTTCATGTGTTTTTAGACGACGCGAGTTTGACTCGCGAATCAACCCTCGTGCAGTGTAAACGGTTGCGGAGCGCGAATCACGACTCGTGAGTCAGATGCACCGCGAGCGGCTGGTCCGTCGGTCTCGAACGCGCATCAAAGGTGATCCGCACGACCGATTCGCGCAGTGTAAACTAGGCGACAAGGGTGCATTGAAATGGGCTAAAATCAATAAGTTCAATTATTAGAAGTTTAAAAAAATAGGCGCTGGCGAAATATTTTGTCCACCAACAGCGTTGACGATATCGACGACGTTCGATCTTTTTTTTAAACATGCCGAAACGATGGCAAATGCTGCAGGCGCACGTGGAGGTACCACTTCCATGGTTGCCTCCCGGATACTGGCGGCTCAGGGTGAGGCTTGCCTCACCATGTATCACATTCGCGGTGTACCTCGCGAGTCAGTTTCGCGTCGTCTAAACGCGCCTTCGTATTTATCCTTTAACTCTACTAATGTCTGTTTACCAAAAAGAAATAGGGGTACTTGACGTACTTATTAAACCACCCAGCCACGACCATGAAATTAATAAAAATGGCGATTTCAACATAAAAATTTGCGGGAGAAGCCCGACATTTTTCCCAATCTTAATTAAAAGTTTACTTCATTTCTGAGGTTATGTTACTTATACTTCGTCATTCTTAAGTTGGTGAAATTGATAAATCCGATCGTTTCAGAAGTGACAGCTAGTTTTTGTAAAAGGTTCACTTCCTCGTCTACTAAATTAAAATATGCTGGGTTTAACGTGCATATTAACAGTTAATGTAATAGAAGTGGTATAATAAGTATAATATACAATACAATCTTAGGTTTAGTTCAATATACACAAAATAATCGTCACTTTACATGTGGCTACACATTAATAAAACCACTCACAGGCAGACTCAACTTGAACGTCTTAAAAAAGAAGAACGTCGTAGAGAGGGTTACATCTTGACAAGGATCGCCTTTTCTGTATCGACTTCTCTCGCTTCTTTCATAGACCAATTCTGCCGTATCGACCGCCGATTAACTTGGAACGCCTTTTCCGTATCAGCCGATGACTACCTGACTACCATGCTTCGGAGGGCATGTAAAGCTGTTGGTCCCGGAAGCTATACCACAACTGTCGTCACACAGACGGCTGTTGATGCGACCTGAAAACGACGATACTAGCATCGACCACCTGGTCACTCTTTGTTATCGACCGCCGATTAATTTCGAACGCCTTTTTGGTATCAGCCGACGACAAGCATTGACCGTCATCACTCAAAAGGGCAAGGGATACCTTTCGCATGCTCCATAGACCGCCTCCTTGTTATCGACCGCCGATTAACTTCGAATACTTTTTCATATCAGCCGGTGACTAGCATCGACCGCCTTATCACTGGAAAGGGGAAGGGACATCTCTCGCATCTTCCATTGACTACTTTTATTACATTCACTGCTAATATACACGTTAAACCCAGCATATTTCAATTTAGTAGGCTAAGAAGTTAACATAATCTACTACAAAAATTAGCTCTCACTTCTGATTTTTTAGTTTCAATTTTTGATGTGTTAATCGCTGTCGCCTCCCGTACAATTTCGTCGAACTTTGTGTCCTCTTTTAGACGCAACAACTCCTGCCGAATATCGTCGTCACGTAATCCACGAATAAATTGTGTTCGCAAATGTGTCTCGATGGTCGATTTTCCACAATCGGTACATGTAAAAGAGCAATTGATGGAGAGGCGTTTCAATTCTTCAATAAACTTCATGATAGACTCTCATTCTGTATTCGCACTGCGAAGCGATGTTGCTGTGCAAATACGTTCGGCTTCGGGCTCAAATGTGTCCTCAACAAGTTAATTAATACGTCGTAGGTTTTTGCCTTTGGCTTTTCCAACTGTCAAATTTGTGAGCGTTTGGAATACTGACGGCGGAATAAGTTCAAGCAGCATTCCCACCTTTTCCTTATCCTCTGCGATTTCTTTTCTTTCTAAATAGTTTTCTAATCGATCGATAAAGTTTTCCATCGTTTCGTTTGTCTCATCGTAGGAGTGAAAATGTACCTTCCGTTTTGGAATTGCATTTCCTGTTCCCGTGGAATTTCGTTGCGTTTCATGTAAATCTTGTAAAACATTACAAATTCGGTCCAAAACGTTCTCGAGTTTTGATCCCATCCTCGTCGCCATTTTTATATATTCACGTTTAATGAAATAAGTTGCAAGTTGTTACTTTTTCGTTCTATTCAATTCGTAATAAAAAAATTACATCTCGAAAAATTAGAGCGATGCCAACTATGCATTATACGTATCATTAATTCAGAGACATAACAATAATGAAGGAAACTTTTAATTAAGTTTGTTTTTCCTGCAAATTTTTTTGTTAAAAACACTTAATTAAGGCACCCTCTGCCCATTTTTATTAATTTCATGATCGTAGCTGGGGGGCTTAATAACGTCATGTAAGAAATAACTCATATTCAAAAATAACTGTGTTGCAGTGGAGGGGAATTAAAGCATAGGTACCCTAACACGTAGGGTATAGCGAAACTAAAATATCTCACTTGAAAATGAGATCAGCATCCAACGCTGTAGTTGGAAGTACTCTCACTAAACCATGCCATATACAAATCAATTCTGGATTTAAAAAGTCAGCCTGACAGATATACACTATACAGGGTGTCAGGGTCTTCACAATGTTAGGAACAAATTAATTTACAATTCTGGTTTTTAGGTTCCAAAAAATTGTCCAATATGTCTAAATGAAACATATGCGTATTTAAGACATCCATCCACAAAGCATTGGAATAATTTATCATCGTAATTATTCTTTCATCATATTATTAAACCTTTCTGACGGTTAATTCCATTGAAACCAAATGTACCTATTTAAATAAGAGGTTAGTGGACTTATTTCCATGACAATCACTAAATAACCGTATTCTCACCAAATTTAAAAAGGCACATGAACTCCTGTGAACACTGTACGTACTTAATGAAACTACTCATAGCCCTGCTCTAGGGGGAAACAACTTTGAATTTTTGGTGTACACTCCTCTGAATTAATTTGAATTAGCCTGAATTAATTAGAATTAACGTGAATTAATTACAATTAATGTGAATTAATTTGAATTAACGTGAATTAATTTGAATTATCGTGAATTAATTTGAATTAACGTTAATTAATTTGAATTTGAATATTTGGTGTACGCCAAAAATGGTACTTGTTCCCTTTAAGACAAATTCGTTTCTAAAAAATCATCAATTCCTGAAAAAATTGACCTTATTTGGTTGCGTTTAAGAATCGCCCTTGGAATGTTTCTTCCCTAAAGGCTTGTTCCCGGAAACGTTTCTCACTGGAGATATTCGCTATAGAAAAATTCTCATCCTGAAAGTGTAGCCTCGCAAAAATCACTATTGTATTTGATCTTCGAAGACTTGTTCCCGGAAAATTTCTTCTGGGAAAATTCCCTATGGAAAAATTCGCTTCCGGAAAATGTAGGCTTGAAAAAGTCGCCTTGGGGATATGCGCACCGAAAAATTCTTTCCTGGAATAATTGTATAACAAATTTTTGTCTTGGAAATTTAGCCCCGAAAAAATCGCCCTTGGAATATTTGACATTAAAAACACGTCTCGCCTTGGAAAAATTCGCTATGGAATTCTTGTCCTGAAAATTTAAACACGAAAAAATCGTTCTTGGAAAACTTTTCCCTGAAATACTTGCGTGAAAAATTTGCCTCCAGAAAATTTAGTCTCGGAAAAAGCTCCGTTGGAATATTTGACTCACAAAAACTTGTGCTCCGAAAAAAACATACGAGACAAATTCGCTATGAAAAAATTGCCTCCGTGCAAGATTCAACCCGTAAATTCATACAGGGTATATTCGCCTCTACGAATTTTCCTCTCGTAATATTTGCGTGAAATTTTATTTTGCCTTTATTTATTAATGGGCGGGGTTTCAGCCAAGGCTGCTCTACCAACCCAACCTACTATACATTTACAAATACCCATACCCGAACCCGGATTCGAACCAGGGACCCTTAGCACCACAGTTCAGCTTTAACTGAACTGCGCCACACGGACCGGCCCTCACCCCCAACAATTTTCGGGAGGGTTCTTCCTGGAAATCTTCTTTCCTAAAAAATTCGCCTACCGAATAAAGTCGTCCTTGGAATATTTGACTCCCAAAAACTCCAAGGAAAATTATTCTGGGAAAATTCGCTATGGAAAAATTCTCTTCCAAAAAATTTACCTACGGAGAATGTAGGCTCCCAAAATTGCCCTTGAAAGATTCGTCCAGAAAAGGAAATTTGTCTACAGAAAATGTTGAAAAAATCATCTTTCGAATATTTGGTCCCCAAAAAATCGTCAAAGAAAAATTTGCGTTGGAAGTTTATGCCCTGGAATACTCGCTTCAAAAACTCGCCCCGGAAACTAGCGTGGAAAACTTGTCTCCAGAAACGTAAAAAATCCCCCTTGAAATATTTGACTCACAAAAATTGTCCCCTCAAAATTCGTCTTGGGAATATTTGTCGTCGAAAAATTCATTTCCAGAAAATTTGCATACGGAAAATTTAGCCTGCGACAAAATAGGCATTGGGATATTTGGCACTTAAAATCTCGTCTCCGAAAAATTCGCCCTGGGGAAATTCTCTATGGAAAAATGGTCGTCTTGAAAATTTAAGATTGATAAAATTGCTCTTGGAAAATTTTTCCCTGGTATACTTGTGTAAAAAATTTGTCCCCAGAAAAAATCCGCCGTTGAAATATTTTACTCCCAAACTCTAGTCCTGGTAAAAATTTGCCTTGGAAAAATTCTAAATGGAAACAACTTTGAATGTTTGGTGTACACCCCCCTGTGTTAATTTGAACTAACCCGAATTAATTAGAATTAACGTGAATTAATTAGAATTAACGAGAATTAATGTCAATTAACGTGATTCAATTTGAATTAACGTAAATTAATTTGAATTAACGTGAACAAATTTGAATTAACGTGAATTGATTTGAATTTTCGTGAATTATTTTGAATTTGAATTTTTGGTGTACACCAAAAATGGTACTTGTTTCCCCCTAGGCCCCACTTCAGATTGGGTTAAGGTGTATCTGACTCAGACTGTAATAGTGTGGCAAGCACTACGTTCCTTAGTCTTCTAGTGTATGGGTACTCATTTATAGAGACCAAGTAGAAGGAGAAAACTTAACAATCGATTTATCAGCGCCGTATTACTAACATCTTAGCTGTTAGTTTCCTTTCAGCTAGCCCATATAGTACAGAATTTATGGTAGGGTTTCTGTCGAAAGTTAAAAATAAAAAAGAAGAATTCCTTTCCAGCAGAGTTTGTCCTATATTCAATTTGGGCTTGAATTAGGATAATTTTTCAAGCCATCCCAGAAATTAACTAGAACACTATAAAGAAAAAAATTTGAAAACACAGTCAGAGGGCTTGGGTTTTCATTACACAGCAGTTTTTTAATCAGTACACTTTTAATACTAGTTTATCACAATTTCCAAAAAATGGTTCCAGACAGCAAATATGAACCTGTTTATTTTCCACTATCTGCAGTTAAAGTTCTTGGTACGATCTCAATTCTCAAATGTCTATAACTCAAACTCTATTACCACAGTTAGTTGTTTGATCAATGTATACAGCAATTTTTGGGGAAACATAATCACTAACGGTTGTGAAAAGTTAAAGAAGCTTCACCATGAGTGAATTTTTGACCATGTGACTAAAAATTAAGACACCAAGCTAAAGATTCGTATCTGCAATTGATAATTACAAAATGAACTCACCTGTTTTTCGATTATACATTGCTTGTTCTTGATCTCTCCTTGTAGTTTCCCAAGGTCTTTGTCGGACAACCCAGCGGTAACTTTAGGCGCACTTGCTGCAGACGAAACAAACATTGATAAAGGATTATAAATATGCTGTAATGTTACCTTTTCGTTCGCGTGGTGGTACAGTGGCTTGCTGCTTTGGCGCTGGTGCTCTAACATGTTTATTTTCGTCATGCCTAACAACTGTAGTCATTTCGTGTTCTCTTAAAGAAACGATAAGTACTCTGAACATTTCCCAATCCCCGAAATTCATGTTTAACAACTAAAAATGAATATATAATTTCGCACGTGTATAACAATGAAGTACCAAACCTTCTTCAGCTCACTCAAATCGCAATGTAGAAGCACTCTTCCATTTATATTATTGTCCTTGATGACCTGCTTATACTTTGTGATCGCGTTTAAATCTAAGTCCTCGATTTTACTAAGAAGCTTGCAAACGCCGTCCACATTTAACTGAGATAGCTTGGTTTCTAATATCTCCGGCTGAAAGAGGATGTCGATTGACGTCGCAATTGAATAAACCAGGTACATACCGATAGTTCGGTCACCGGTCCCAAATGATGAAAAGTTGTAGGAGGCTCCCACGGCCGCTGCCAGTTAATCATTCCCGTATTAGGCGGGTATATCACAGTGGGTGGCACTTGAACAGAACTCTTCCCGAAGCCTCTCACTTTCTTAGCACTGGTAGTGTTCGGCGCAGACCAATCGTTGGTCCAGGGGGTAGTCCCAGTTGCCATATAATTGGACATAACGGGATTATTTCGGACGGGAGCCATCATGATTCCTTCGTCGTCCATTCCTTGCGTTTCCTCTAAATAATTTTATTAACGATTTTTTGCAAACAAACAGTGTCCAGTACCTTTTATCACTTTTTTCAGGTAAGGATCCAAATTTATTGTGAATGGTAAAAAGATTTTAAGATCACTTACTAGTAAACTAGATCTGTGGTATGTTAAGAATATGTCGAATTTACGTTCGTCCCGATCCAGTTCCAATAGGGGCTCGATGTCCTTCAAGCTGGGTATGAATGGACGAACTCTGCATAACAAATAATTAATAAATGACGGAAAAGAGGACAGTCATACTTTTCATATAGAGATTTTAATGGTGTATTGTCCTCGAGCGAATCCTCAAATGTGTCGTAATGATAAATTATCCACGAAGTCCTGAACGGCCACTGTTCGGTAATATTGATCCATGACGCAAGTCTGTACCAGTTAAAATCTATCTGGAATGCCTTCAGAAGGCGCCCTGTGACGTATACAACGTTCATAAGCCGTCTCATTGATCTTGGATTAACGTCGCTGAAATAATCGTCAGTGAGCAACATTTTCGTGAGATCTTGAGCTCCTCCAATTTTATTAAGATTGGATCCAATAGAACTTGCAACTGAATCTGATATTTTCAATTTGAGAGATTTCTTTCGTGCAAATTTCAACTTTTCTGTGCTAGACATTAGGGTACTTTCAGTAGATAACCTTCGACTTGATAACTAAAACAGTTATATATTGACCAGGGAATTTTAAGTGTTGGTTAATTACCGATCGAACTAGCAGATTATTTCCGGCGATATTGACGTTGTCGTCAACATCGTTCCATCCACCGAGCGTCATCTTACGATGATATTGGGAGGTCTGTTGCGCGATTTTAACCTTCCGTAAACCAGAGTTTTGCAAATAGAATGGAAGGTGAACCATGTTGCACAGGTAACTGTGTCCTCCTATATTATTTTCGCTAAACAATCTTCTACTGCTTACTTCTACTGCCTAAGAAAGTGAAATCTAGTGTTAAATAATAATGTGCGAACATTATCATTACATACCAACTTAAAATTAATAACAAAATACCTACACACGACAGTTAATTAAACATACATAATATGTAAAGAACTATCATCATGCAGTAGAGAAGAAATTGTTACGAAGAGAGAAAGTATCAATACTGCAACACCAATAGTAAAGCCTAAAGGGAAAAACCTACATAGCTATCCAATCCAACACTTATTTGACTTTATAACAAAGTAATACACAATGATCATGAATCATCTCAAACCACACAATTATAATATTATTATAGCGGAGTAATTTATTTTCACTATAGCTATGCTAATGTCATCGTGATGCGCTCAATACAATCTGCTGACAATTGATTGACTATATATGCAGGTTGCATTTATAAGTGTGATAAATGGAAGAGATTAAGAAGAAATTAAGTAAAGTTGTTCCAGTGCACAAAAAGGGTGACCGAAAGGTTTTTCAAAATTATCGACCTGTTTCGTTACTGTCAGTTCCTGCAAAATATTCGAAATAATAATACACAAAAGAATTTTTGGCAAGTTAGCTCCGTACTTATCAACTAAACAGCACGGATTTGTCTCGGGAAGATCCACTGTCACAAATTTATTCACCTTTACTCAATATGTTGCGGAGAATTTGGACAAGGGTTCCAGAGTTGATGCTATTTTTACTGATCTTGCCAAAGCGTTTGACAGGGTGGACCATTCTGTGATATTGTGTAAGCTGAATAACTACGGGGTAGCCGCAAATGTCTTGAACTTACTTAAATCATATCTATCACAACGCGTTCAATACGTGTGGTATCGTGGACATAAGTCTAGAGAATATATAGCTACCTCGGGAGTTCCGCAAGGTTCCATATTGGGCCCTGCTATTTTCAACCTTGTTATTAATGATGTCGTTAAGTGTGTTCAACATTCGGAAATCTTGCTCTATGCAGATGACCTCAAGATATTTAAAGGGATACAAAACAAATTGGATTCGATTTTACTGCAACGTGATTTAGACGCGGTTTATAATTGGTTAACTTTAAACAAATTAAGCTTTAATGTCGCTAAATGTCATAGCAGTCTATGACGTTTACAAGAGCCACCGACTATGAATTGTACAGCTATACATTAAACGGGGAGATTCTAACGCGTGTCTACGAAATGCATGACCTAGGGGTACTACTTGACCATAAACTAAATTTTAACAAACATTATTCTTACATTATTAACAAGGCATTCCGTAATTTAGGATTTTTAATTCGACAAGGAACAAACTTTAGATCTGAGCGAACATTAAAAATATTGTACGCATCGTTGGTGAGAGCAAACTTAGAGTACGCGGCAACCATCTGGACACCCTATTATGATATTCATAGTAACAATATTGAAAAGGTGCAGAACAGATTTTTGAGATTTTTGTATTTTAAGACTGAGGGTCAATATCCAGTACTGGTTTCTACTACAAGATTGCTAGATTTATTTCAGATGCAGAGTCTAGATAAGCATAAGAGTCGAAAAATCATTCAATTAACTTTCGTCTTCAAGTTAATTCATGGTTCCGTTAACGACATCAATTTACTGAGTCAAGTTAATTTTTTAGTACCAACTTATTTCAATCGTAGTAAATTTCTATTTCATATTCCTCACTCACGCACAAATATGATGTTTCATTCGCCATTAATTGCCATGTTACGGCTCTATAACAATGTTTCGTTGCATATCGACATATTTCTTGCTTCTCAATCTTCTTTTCTCAAAGTGTGTATTGATACTGTGTAGTTTTTATGAATTCATTGCCCATTATTATAGTTTTTTTTTAATAGTTTTTTATAATTTTTTATTTTTTTTAAGTTTAAATTATAAATTGTATCATCTATAAATTATAAATAAGTTACGTTAAATAATGTCATTAATCAATTTTTTAAGTTCCATCACCTGTATTATGATTTCCATTACAATTATTAGTATCGATTTTATAATTTAGGTTTAGTTCTCTTTATTTCTGTCTATCTGTTTTGTGAATGTATATATTTGCAAGTGAACTGCTTCGTTGTAATTGGGAAATTCCTGTAATGAAGCATGGAAATAAATAATAATAATAATAATAATAATAATTAGAAAGTGAAGGAATTGTGAATACTTTGGAGATAACCTGAAAAAAACTGTACTTAAAAAATGAAGTTCATGATAACCCCAAAAAATCAAAATGTTGGACTTAAAATCTAAACATGTCAGTTCGCAGGCGAACAAAACTTTTCATTGAAAAAGTGTGATTTGCTTTCAAAAATCTCTTCGAATAAAGTCACAAAAAAGTAAAAAGAAATTAGGAAATTTCAGATTTTCCCAGGTCTGTCAATTATTCAAAATACCTTCACTTCCCAAGCCGCGATAAATTTGGCCCCAAAATGTGCAACTTTGCCTCCATTTAACCGACTTCGTATCTCTTACCATTTCCCAATGATGACCTTTTAATTTGGGACACCCTGTACATGCGGACGACAAAAAACAAAATTTTTTGAGCAAAAATGGAAAGTGACAACTTTATGCACAGATATGTGTACATACAACAACCTTTTAGTGGTTTTCGAGCTTCTAAAGCTATTATTTTAACTTACTATACAGGGTGTTTTTTTGGGAGCTTTAGTTAAACGTTTCTGGGAAAGTAAAATAGGTAGGTTTTTCAAAAATTAGTTACTCTGAAGGCCGAATCGATGTAAAATATTTTCAAAATGGCCACACTTCCGGAAACACCGGAAGTAGATAGTAACTTCGTTATTTTTAATGGCAACCCCTATTTTTTATTGCATGTTTGGATTCTACGTGAAATTTCAGTTCTTTTGATACCCACATGTCGATATCTGCCATTTATGGTTTTTAAGTTTTGACTTTAAGAAAAAAATGGCGGATGCAGATGGTACCTTGATAATTGTTTACTCGAAAACGGTTGTAGTCATGGCGACCCATTTTTATCAGCGCATAGAGAATAAATAGGGCTTTCTTTTAGAGCACTTAAAAAAAGTTAAGTTGTGTACAACCGCACCTATGGAAATCCAAATTTAAGAAATTTCAAAATCTAAAAACTCAGTTTTTTTTAATGGAATGACCATGTTCTTACTATTGCATGAGATAGAGAATCGAAATTGACATATTTTGATATTACATGTTCCTATAGCTATCTTTAACAGTTTCTGATTTATTCCCATTTCATTGAATTGATACCTTTTTTTTTCGTATTTTCTTTTTAGTAGTTGGCCATTATTTTATAACAATTGAATTTTAAACAAATCAAGGAAAGGATTCTTTAATATCATTGATTCTAGTCTAAATAATTCATTAAGAAAAAAGACAACAATGTGGTCAACTATAATTGGAAAACAAAAACTTATATGAAAATAGGAGTGTACAACATTTCCAAAGTTCATACAATTTCGTTCCAGTGTTCGAATGAATGTACGGCAAGCACGTGCCGCGATTCTGTCCATTTCACCATAAATAACAATTAAATTCCAAAATAGGTGAAACCACGGCGAGTCATTTTTCGATTTTTGAAAAACTTATGTTAACCTATAACAGTAGGTGACGGATTAGTGTCACTGGATTTGTTTAAAATTCGATTGTTATAAAATCATGGCCGACTACTAAAAAGAAAATCCAAAAAAAAGAGTGTCAATTCAATAAAATGGGAATAAATCAGAAACTGTTAAAGATAGCTATAGGTACATGTATTGTCAAAATATCCCATTTTGATTCTTTATGCAATAGTAAGAAAATGGTCATTCCATTAAAAAAACTGAGTTTTTAATCCTTGAAGTTTCATAAATTTGGATCTCCATACGTGCGGTCGTACGCAACTTAACTTTTTTTTAAGTACACTCAAAGAAACCCCTATTCATTCTCAATGCACTGATAAAAATGGGTCGCCATGACTACAACCGTTTTCGAGTAATCAATGATCAAAGTACCATCTGCATCCGCCATTTTTTTTCTTGAAGTTAAAATAACTTAAAAACCATAAATGGTAGATATAGAGATGTGGGTATCAAAAGAACTGAAATTTCACGTAGAATCAAAAAATGCAATAAAAAATAGGGGCTGCCATTTAAAATAACGAAGTTACTATCTACTTCCGGTGTTTCCGGAAGTGAGGCCATTTTGAAAATATTTTACATCGATTCGGCCTTCAGAGTACCTCCTAAGTACAAATTTTCAAAAACCTATCTATTTTACTTTCCCAGAAACGTTTAACTAAAGCTCCCAAAAAACACCCTGTATACTGTATTGTATAGTATAGCATTCATCTTTAATGCAAAAGTCCGCACCGTCATTACTCAATAATACCGACATCTATTAGGACACATATAGGTAAAGCCTCGGGCAAGGCCTATGTAGTTCCATCTTTTGACGACCTTAACAATAAGAGCGTTCCTTATAATAACAGAAAGAAGGGAGATAGGCAACTAAAAGGAAGATATACCTCTAATTAGCCTGGGCGCCTTGCCATTTGAGTATTTTGTTTGAGGTGCCCTGGGTACCATACAAGGATGCTATATAATTATATAGCATCCTTGGGTACCATTGACTTATTTTATGTTTTTTGTTATTAACAATTTAAGTTGCTAAATTTAGTTTTTTTGCGTTTTCGACCGGAAAACGAGACTATAGGTCAAATTTGATCCCGAAATTCGATTCTACGGAAAAATACCCTGAAAACATGTGCGACATATATTGTGTAAATAACATCATGTAGACGTTCTTTCGGTCTAAACACCGAAAATAATGACGGGACACCTTGTATAGGAGGAATATTTCAATTTATGAAATTCGGGGGGATTATTTACAAATAAGCACAGAGTTGGTTTATTTCTTCTGAGTTTGTATTTCTCCAGTTATATTTTTCCTTTTAGACTTTTTGTAAAACCGTAAAGTTTATTTAAATCTGTTTGTTCAATTGTAAAATGTGAACTTGCATGATAAAATGTACAAACATGTGGTCGTTTGCGATAAGAATTTTTGATATCAGGCGAAAGTTATTTAATTCCAACAAAAAAAGCAAATGTGGCGCAGATAAAATAATGCACGTGTGCGCGTCTCGAGAGAAAGAAGTGAGGAGTTAGGCTTATTGTAACTGGCGCATTATTTCTAATTACTGGAACGAGTTTTTTGTTTGGTGGAGGTGGTACTTCGTTAAATACTGCAGACATAAAAAAAAAGACTGCTGCCAGCTAGCTGTTTCGCGACGGCTGGAAAAGAGTGTATGTCTCTTTACGTTATTTATTCGGGCGGTCCGATTTGATTGATTGAAGACGCAGCTCGTCATTTTCATAATATATCTGCGAGAAGTTCAAAGCGTGTTCCGTTTTTTGGAAAAAGTTAGTCGAGTTTAAGTTGAAAAAACCAGTTTATCACAGACCTTCAAGATATTAGGATTTTTAAAAGACAAAAAAACTAAGTAATTTTAAGATTTTCATATTTTTAATTATAGACCGCCTTTGTACGGGGTACCATGTAAAAACAAACTTTGTAAGCTTCCCTTTATTTCAGACATTTTATTTTTATTTTCATTTATTGTGTTTCGGAATAAATTATTGTCATTGTCAATCAATTAGTTGTGTGTTTATTCGAATCCATTGCATGGAGTCGTTTTCAGATTGTTCTCTTGGTATTCAAGATATATAAACAATAAATTTAATTAACTTATCATTTTTGTGAATTCTGCGTGTTTAATCAAACCCAAAGTGCGACCCATATACGATATACGAGTTTTCATGTAAGATTTTTTTTATTCATGACCAAGAATTGTCAAATTGCACTGTTTCTTTTCTGATTTGGTTTGGTTAATTTTTTTCAACCTTCTTACTCTAACCCAAAGTATATTTCGGTTTTGGAACCAGATCTATATTGTTCATATGTTGGTATCCTCCTGTCCAAAGAAGGGATTGACTTTAAAGAAACAAATCTACAATCGAAACTGCAATCATACCTTGAGATGGGTTAATGATCACAAAAATAAGTTTCACACCAAGCAGGGCGGAATACTAAAATATGAAATTCCAATTTGAAAATTTTTGGTCAATCCAGGGTCATACTGTATAGTAAAAACTACGCAAAGAGCGAATGGCTTCTTATTTACAGTATTTCTCTTTCTATATTACCTATTTCACTGCCCTTATTTGATTTTCTGTCTCTTTTCTTTCATTTTAGATAGCCAGGTTCGTAAGTGTACAAGCAGTAGTCACTCCTGGCGAGAACCAGAGATTCTGGAGAAAGAAGATAGGAGACGTAGCGATCAGATTTTGAATACCGCCAGCCATTTTTTATTATCTGAGACGATAAAATTTGACCTAAGTACCAAGTGGCCAAATAACAATGACTCTAAAAATTATAGACAGAGCTTTGGGGTTAATTGCGCTGTAGTCAGGGGGGACAAATGACACACATTGACCTTTTAAATTTACAAAGCATTATAAAGCTTTATGTAGTGACCATTTCTCCGCAACAATGAAAATTTTGGTGCACGATGCGGTTGCATTACCAGTAATAACTCGGAGAGTTTTTCAAGTTCTACTGGGCTGCACGGTTGGAAAATAGGAAGATGAAGATATTCACGTAACCAACAGCTTAAAAATATTTGTAATCAATCTGATAATACCATCTATAATTTTTCATCTTTTACACTTTACTTAACCTCAAAGTGAAACCATAATTTCCCGTTTGCTTCACAAATGTGTATTTTTGGCCCTTTCCAAATCTACGTTGTTTATAATCTTTGCATACAATGCTGCAGGTATACTTTGAGTAAAAACATGCCCCATATACTGATTCAATGTTCAAAAACACATTGCATTGGTCGACATCACACAATGACATAAGACACTTCTGCTTGACTCAATCTAACTGAGTAATAAGTTTCAAATTGACTCTGTACCAATGACGTTTGCGACTATAAATTTGAGTAAGTAATGCGATGAAAGACAGTTGAACTAATATTACTCCTGAGACATTAAAAGCGACAATGATTTTTTGAAGTACATTCTCTATGATGAGTTAAACTAACCTGTCGCCATGACGTCTTAGAAAAGCAAAATCAAAAATGTAATTATATATTTTAAACGCATCATTTGCATACAAATTTGTCATTTGATTGAGCTGAACGAGGACTTACCTTTGCGATTACATGAGGATCGATCGCTAATATAATAATAAAAGGATTACTGGCATCCGAGAAAAGTAAATGAACAGCGTCCAAAACCAGCAGGACTTTATCTTGTTCACAGCTGTCGAGACCATCAACAATTATAACAAGCCTCGTCTGTTGAGCACTCAGACTATCCAAGCACTTCACCATGTCTTTCATTAAATTAACCTACAAATGCAAATAATTAAGTTTAACACTAAATCACGACAAGAACCACCTCTCGCTTCAACGCTTGCAAAAATCCCTCCGATTTTAAAGTGTCCAATTTCGCGATACTCCTTTGCAGTTGTCTCCTTTGCGAAAATATTAACGACGAAAACATCCTATTCCACGTGTATAGATTGGCGATGGTTGCGATTCCCAAAAATAAAGCTGAGGTGATCATTATTATATGCAAACTTAGGCGTTCCGTTTCTGAATGTCTAAAATGCACATCGTAACAGCAAAGTCTGTACAATAGAAAACTTGGAAACTCACTGATTGTGGGTTTCTGAATTTAACCGCAGCAAGAAGACGGTTAAGGCACATGTTCCAAGTAATATACATATAAGCGTTATTTCGAATATTACAGCTGAAGGGACGCAGCATAATTTCCTTAATCTCCATGATGAGGATTTCACTGAAATTTAATAAGAATGTTGAAGTTCACACAGAAAATTGCAATAGAAGTTGAAAGCAAACCAGGAGTGACATTTTGTACATTTTCATTACTATCTGCGTTTGGATCAAGAAGAAATATAAAATGAAAGAACATTTTCAGATTGTTTCTCAGCTGCAATGTACTAATAAATTACTAGAGGCCATTTTCAACATTGGCTTGGCGAAAATGTGGTCGTCACTTTGAGATTGAACACAATTTCGATTACGGTATTGGAATTTGAAGTCAATCTCATTTAAAACTGGTCGTTGCGATAATAAATTTGTTATTGCTGCGTAAGTTAATTAGTTCCAAAATACGCATCTATTTTTCCTTTAAACATTTTTTGAATAGTTTATGGAGCTTAGGGGGGTGCGTGTATTCTTAGTTTTTAAATCATTACAGCATATATTGTTTTGTGACCCACAAAATTAGAAGCACCTGTTTCCTTTTGTTTAATTGGAACAACTTATTATTTATGAACTGTTGAAGATAGACATGCCCTCGCGAATTGCTTGTGCATAAATTAATCCTCTACAATTAATCTTCTATACATTTTTTGCTATTTATTGGGGTTTGCCCGGTTTGCGCGCAATCGTGATTTTTGTAAGAAAACACGTAAGACTCCAGTAGTATAAGTTTGATAAACTAAGACTAAACTTGCCATCTCTTTCCTACTGCAGCTAAGATAATACAAAATTTTAGTTAGAATACAAGAGTTAGAACTGAAACGAGCTCGTAAAATAATAAATAACGAAACGTCATAATAAATAGGATTTTTGTGTATGATGTGCTCAACGTAAAAATAAACAGCATAAAGCCTATAAAACTGTATACGATACTATAAACTATATGCTAAATCTAGTTAAAAGGAAAAAAATGCACAAGGGATCCAGCCCTTGCAACAATCAGAAAATTGCGCTTACTCTCTCACTGCCACTTTTTTAGTTTTACAAACTGGTGTTTGCCAATAACGACACAAATTTCTAACGTTTATAGTTTCCAAGATAGTGATGTTGTTCATTTTTATCTTGTACACCCTGTATTTCATTTCAAATTCAGATTGCATACCTGGTTTAGGTTTGAAAGCGCGATATAAACGAGTTGCTAATGAGCCATAATCATTTTCAATTGCATCATACAAGGACCCGATCATTTGTACAATACAATTTTCACCTGCAATTGTACTGCTTACCCTGGTTTGATCAGTAAAGTAAAATCTGAAACATTCAAAGTGTAACCTACAAATATGCTTGTTCAACAGTTCATACCGAATAGGTTGAGCAGATATCACATCGGACCCATTTGTCCCAGGTGGATGACAAAACATAACTTGCAAAATCAATTTCAAACTATTCATTTTTCTAGTAAGCTTTAAATTAAAATTATAAGGCCAATCCCAGTCGTACCTAAAAGCGACAAGTTAATTGAAAATTCCACATCCAAATGTCTCACCTTTTACCAGCGAACCAGACCAACGCCAGAAATATGTAGATAACTGCTAAAACGCCAACAGATAAGCACACCCCCACCAACCAACTTTGAATGGCCAAGCCGCCCATAATTCCAATAATCGCTGATATGTGCAAAACAACGAAGAAGAGAAGGCCGGTAAATTGGAACATCGGATCGACCCATTCACGAGCGAAATTTTTCATTTCGTCTAAAATTCACGAGTTACTCACAAACCAAAGTAGGGCGATTGCGCACCTCTCAATTTATTTAGAAGAAATGATTTACCACTACCCCATTTCGCGTACAATCCCACCGTGATGGGCATTGAAAGTGACGGTTCGCTTAGAATATCCGCAAGAGCGCTGCTATACAAATCGTAACCTAACATATTCTCGTTATCTTCGTTAGTATTTAAACGCCCTAAAATTGGTTATCTATGACCGTTTGTACGGTAGCAAAAGTGCGTCTTACGTGCGCCAAAGATTTGCCCGAGAATTGTCTTAGGATTGCTTATATCAATATTGTAGGGGGTTTCGCCGGCACGATTTGGCCTGTACAACAATTGGCTGTTCTTCGGGTTACGTAGTAGTATTTCCACTATAGCTTTGGAACGAGCGCGCATTGCAATGTGAAGCGCGGTGTCTCCCTTCTTGTCGGCTGCCGATACTTTAGCTTTTTTATCCAGTAGTAGTTGAACAATTTCGGAATTTCTTGAGCGTACAGCTTTTAGTAGAGGTGTGTCACCATCCTGCAACAGCAATAAATAAGATATCAACAATCAACACAAAACAACAAAGTATCTTGGTTTAGCGATTAAAGGTACGTTTTCGCTGTCACCGAAAAACGCCGCGTTTACAAGCTGTCGGCACACGCCTTGTACTCCTGAATGGAAATGACAATGCAGCTGGTTTACTATGAGCGTGTCAAACGCTGGCTGATCGCTCCCGTCGCGCGTTTGACGAAAGCAGTCTGCGCGATTGCCGCCCGGCCTGTGTGTCGGTTGCCGCGTTTACCGACGACAGCAAAAACGTATCTTAATGCCTTTAAAAAATCAGACTACAACGAAATTATCATTCAATAAGCAGTTTTGCAATGTATCGGGTTACCCACTAAGACTTTTCCTCGGGCATATCTCGAGAACCGTTCGTCATATGACTTAGGGGTAAAAAAAATTATTGGGTTCTGAAAATGACCAACAGAGGGCGTAACTGCCATCTTAAATTTTAAAATTGCATTTTCTTTAAATTTTCGTAAAACAAAAACTCAGTTATTTCAAAAACAAAGATCGTGTGGGGAGTTCAATTGTTTTTGCAATAACATTCTCTAACTTCTTAACCGTTTGACCGATTTTAACAAATTTGGTATATTTGAAAAGAGCATTCCTTGGGCAATGAGAATCAACGAAGATATAGTTAATTTAGTTGAATCCTTCTCCGCCAGGGGGCTAATTTTGACACTATGACTCACAATCCTAAAAAAATCAAATGGAATGATATGACTTTTTCTTTATGAAAAAGTAGCCAAATAACATCCAAAGAGGCCAGTGAAAACCGTTTTTCAAAATCTCGTTCCTAACCTCAAATATTGGGAAAATGAGATTATTAATAAAAATGCTTAAATTGTATCTTAAATTTAGTTTTTACGTATTTCCGATATTTGTCAATGGCGCGAAAGAGAAGGACCCTACACTTTTAGGTAGGCCTTGGAAAATTAAACAAATGAAACATGATGCATTATAAAATTAAAACAGCCGTAATTTGTAAATTATTCTGCTGTGTTTACATTCAGAAAGTGCAGTTTTTTGAATTTGTAATCTTTTCTAAAATGCCGATTTCTAACCAAGAAGCATTTAATATGCTGGCGGCGATGGTTCGTGGTCGATTCGGATAACGCAAATAGAACATGTGGGCAGCGATGGGCGCATTTTGAAAATACTCAAAATATATCGCCAGCATACTAAATGCTTCTTGGTTAGAAATCAGCATTTTAGAAAAGATTACAATTTCAAAAAACTGCACTTTCTGAATGTAATTATTGGGTCACGTGGTACTTAGGGTCGGGGACCTTTTTTGTGAATGTAAGTATATAATATTTAATGGTTTTCCAAATGTTTGAGTTTTGAGATCTTCCTGAATTTTGTTCCTCGATTCTTGCAGTCATTTTCTCTATCCGTTCGTTCGATGTTAACTACTCCTACGATTTTTAAGATTTTTGTTTGTTCTTTTTAAATTCGGTAGCTTATAGCTCTGGCACCTGAGCCAAGAATTGATTAATATTTTTTGTTGAAATTTCACCACAGATGCTTCCAGTAAACGCAAACTTATAGCATATTACAAAAGAACAAATATGCGCACGCACAAATTGCTCAAAATCAATTTTCTTAAAAATACTACAGATGGTTCTAGTGAAGACACAGGAAGTTCCTATGCGAAAAGTCAACTTTTTTAAACTTATGGAGATATTTCTTCGAAATGTTAACCATATATGTTTCTAGTAAAGACTAACATATTGTACATAGAAAACAGTACCTTCAGCGTATTTTCCATGCATTGACCAGTACCTACTTCCCAAAAGACCATAGCTATGTGCGCTATGTTTTTCTTTACTAGAGATATGGTTAAAATTTCAAAGAAATATCTCCATAAATAAGAATGTAGACGTTGCGCAGTTTACGCATGCGCAAAATTTATACATGCTATATGCGATTTGTTTGTTTTTACTAGAAGCGTCTACAGTTAAACTGTTGAAGAGATGTCTAAAAAGTGGGCATTTACTATGTGCAATGTGTTTTCAATTATTAATGATAGCGAATATAACTTTTCAAGAAGTACCGATTTCTGTATGGCATATGAGCTAAAGTTACTCGCCTTGGTATTTAATCTTTCTATCTTTACTATAACCACAAAGCGAATTGAGTTTATGGTTGGTGCAATGTTAAGAGAGATAGATTTCGGCCCATACTTCCACTAGTATAATTTTTTTTACGAAAATAACAATCACGCGCATTTGTTTCATAATGCAGGATAAATGGAAAGAGATAGGAAAAAATTCAGAGAAGATAAATTGTAGTTTCCCTGCCCCTCCCTGCCTTTCTCCAATAGCATTGAATGTACGGTTTGACTGAGTTTTTCAGGGGCACGTGCTTTTCAAAATGCTGTAAAAATAACACGAGACACAATGGAACTGTTTCCCGCACACAGTAGACTTTGTAATTTCACAAAAAATTCCGAGACGACCCTTCGACTAGTGGAAGTGTGATAGACAGATAGACTAAGCCAATATTTTCTCTCTCTTTCTAACATTGCAACGACCATGACATTGTTTCACAACCACTAGTATATACAAATTGATACACCAATCCGGAAAATAATATCAATCAATAATAAGGACTAATTAACACATGCACGTTTAATTAGGACTAACTGGCGCATTTTTCTATAAATTATAGCGAGTCCACAAAACCATACGCTCGACCATATGCCAATTAGATAAACTAGACTAACGACACACCCCTCTCTTAATTTTTGTGAATAATTGTAATTATAGTCTGTACTTAATTTTATGCTAATTAAAAGAGAGAAATTAAATAAGACTAATTGACAGACAAATGGGTTAATTATCTGTAATAGATAGACAGTAAATCTGCCAATTAGCTCTAATTGGTAGCCAGACGTCACAATGGGCTCCAACTGATATACAGTTTATTGTGGGTTTGACTTATAGTCATCTAGAAAGAAATCCAATAAGCATTATATGAGTGTGAAAGAGACATAACTTTACCAATGTTGTAATTGACAGTACGTAGCGATTGACTAGCTTACTCAAAAAAGACGCATTAATGGCATCAGCGCTTTTAGTTTGTTGTGTATTCTACCTTACTTCACACTCATATAATGCTTGTTGGGTTTCTTTCTAGTTTATTATAAGTCAGACCCGCAATTTTTTTCATACATACCTGTATATACATACATGGGCCAATCACTGCTAAGCAACAAATCAGGGTTGTTACATTTAAGACAATTATTTTAAACATGTTTAATATGGTGTTTTATGGTGAGATTACACAATCATTATCATTAGTTCACTATCAAAAATCATGAAGAAATAGCCAATAGAAACAAAGGTTCATTGCACGTTGCTAACCAACAAAACGATTCTGAGCTTAGTGAACTAATGATAATGATTGTATAGCTTCAGTGTCGACCTCTTTGAAATACATACTTCCACACGAGGTCTTACTTTAATACTTATTATTATTGTATATTTTTATTTCTTTATATCTCCTATGTTAAAGGAATCATCGCGTTTCACACTACATACCAATGATGTATGTATTGAACAAAGCAATTTTTTTCAATGATCAATTCACGAATTCTTGGCCGAGTTTTAGAATAATCTGATTTTTTTGGCATTTCGCGAATTTCAATTTTTGTGTACACCTAATTTTATAGTTACTTTCTTAGGAGTTGGCAAGTTGCTTCCTCAATCCTACGTGCCAAACAGGCCCAAGTGAGAGCACAGTATTTTAAGTATGCGCAAACGACAGGTTATGTGCGTAAAATATGAAGTAAATATGAGGAAAAAAAAATGGTAGCCATTCTATGAATACAAACCTTAGTGGCAACTTCCAAATCTGGATTAGCATTTAAAAGCAACTTAACAATAGACGCATTGCCTTTTTCCACAGCCATATATAAAGCAGTCTTTTTATCTTTCCCGCAAATATCAACGTCGGCGTATTTCTTTAAAAGTGCCTCGACAACTGCCCTATGGCCACCTTTGACCGCATGGATCAAATTGGTGTCCCCCGCGCGATCCTACAAAATTGTCTATGAGATTTGATTTGACCAGCTTCCATCACGTACCTGAATGTTAATGTACGCGCCGGCCGCCATAAGGGCGGCAGCGATATCGTAAAATCCCTCCTTGCAAGCGATCGTCAAGGCACTGCATCCGTCTTTGTCCAACGCATTTACGTTAGGTTTATATTCTAATAACGAATTTACTACTTCCACGTGATTACCTTGAGTTGCCACTAATAGCGCCGTCCAAGAGTACATGCCAGCGGTATCGACGTTGGCACCTAAAACAAGTGTTTGAAATAACAGAATTCAATTGTCTTACACAACCTGCTCGTAGTAAGCTGTGGACGATTTCGGTGTGTCCCTTTCTACACGCCCACACCAGTGCCGTCGTTCCATACTTATCGCCTACATTAACTTTAACGCCATGACTAATTAGTGCCTGAGCAATTTGCGTGTAACCCCGACCCGCCGCCCAAAGCAGGGAAGATATGTGATAATTTCCGTGCGCGTTTATGTCGGCGCCCCTATTGATTAGTAGACTAACTACATCCGTGCGGCCCTTGTACGTGGCCCACATGATTGCCGTCCATCCCCCCTGAAACATGAACAGTTAGGTAATAGAAAAGTGAGACCGCGCTAAAGACCATATCTCTGTGATCGACCATCGCTCCGTGTTCCAACAACTCGTGGCAAACGTCCGCGAATCCCTCCTTCGAGGCACACAGAAGGGCACTCCATGAGTCGTTGTCTTCAGCATTGGGATCCGCGCCGTGAGATAGCAATTCTTTGACAAACGAAATTCGACCTTTGAGGGCCGCGAGCATGAGTGCTGTGGTGCCATTCTACAAAGTCAATTACTTAAATTTTTGGCTTAAATTTAGTATTGTAAAGTTAAAAAGTATGGAACCAATAAATACGAAACATGAACAACGCTCGATCTTCCATCAGCTATCCGAATTTTACTTGAAAGAGACGGGTTTCAAAAATACAGCAGATCTTGAATTGAACTTCGCAATGGTTGGATCATTGCATATTGTATCCCATTCCCATGTGTAGCGAATTAAAAAAATGAACAGCGCAAGGGATTTCTCGTGCTTGTCCAGATAAAAGTGATGTAATGTCTCCTTTTCCTAAGCAACCTGTTCGCTTATATACCACAGATTAACTACAATACTCTGTGCTTATACTGTGAAAATCCAATTTCTGATTTTTTAATTTGTGGCGATCGCCATTTTAAGTTGATTGTGAGGTGTAATTTTGGGTAAGTATTCGGTCATCCTTAGCGTAATTTTTTTTACTCTTTTCTCTGGTTCTTCATGTACCCTATCAGTTGCTCAGTCATTCCGTGTAGATGCTGAAATATTTTTCGTTGTGTTTGAAACTTGTAAATTTTCTCTGGCCACCAGGAGAATATAATCTATGTTCTTTGTCTATGCTTAATAATATACATGTTCCAACACTATTTTTGTTTAAACTTTTGTACCAAGAGAACATAATGTGAAAGGAAGTGTATCTATCTATTCATAATATATACAGACCTGTTAGAAAATGGTTGCAAATTTTCTCTGGTTATTTTCCATTTTCTGTTTTATTTTCATATGGGTCTTGATTCTCAGACGCCATAAAAGTTTAGATCTTGTAATTCCACTCCTTCCAATATGGATTAAAAATTTTCCCTTTACTCGCTTTCTACAACGTGCTCATGGTTTAGTCTCATCATTATGTCTGTAACGGGGTTTCCCTATAGAGAAATTTCAAAGAAGGCAAGATCAAAATTTAGGTAGGGATGTGACCTTGAGCGTACGGACGTATGTATATTTTTGCATTTAAAGAAATGATTTGTTTCATTTACTGTAATCCAAGTTGGTTTTTTATTTCAAGATGAGACTGATCATAACCCGCGGATTCTGTGACCGGTCCGTGCAGATTACAGCACAGCTAGAAAGCTAACTTCAAGTAGTCATCGGAAAAGCAATCAACGAGAAGCCACGCCCATAGTCTCGTCGGTCCGTGTACTTTTAACCATATCAATGTCCTGGCGGCGGAACTAAACTATTCTACATCGAAGCAGCGACAAAAAGTATCTAGAGATATCCTGGTGTATAAACAATAAACCCCTGATGCGGATCTAAAAAAGCAGCAGAGCACCTCGGTTTGACCCTAAGGGGTCATTGGATTTGACCCATTTTTAAAGGGCTTGTTACATGTAGTGTAGCATATGGGTCAACTGTGAAAAGTTCGAACCAAACAGGTTCAAGTGTTTGCCAGAGACAGAGAGGCGTGACCTCATGGGGCATTGGATTTGACGCATTTTCAATAGGATTATTACATGTGGCATGTAGGTCAACTGTGCAAAGTTTGCACCGAATCGGTCCAAGCGTTTGACAGTTATCGTGTTCACGGACAGAAAAAAACACCATCGACTCGACAAAGGCCATATTTTTAAGAAAATAAGAACCATCTAAAAATAAAGATTATTGAGTTATTATTTATCCCTTTACCTTTTCTTCGAGAGGCCAGAAGAGGGTTATTAGCCGGTGAGCAGCTGAGGCATATTAATATAATTACATAACAAGAACCACCCTAATTTAATTAAGTATAGAAACGTTACCCATAAATGGAAGGAAGCAAAATGTGTAACATCCGTTACATGTCCTACTCAAATTTGTTTTTCATGTGTCAAAGGCTATTTGCAAGAAAGATTTGACTGAAAATTTATAAGAATGGAACACACTCATCTGATCAACTATGAGCTGTCGACTCCAATAGTGGCATATTTTTTTAAATTATATTTTGCCTTTATTTTTGAGTGGGCGGGGTTTCAGCATGAACAAGCATATACAGATAGTTCAGACTCGACTGGAGTTGTTGCTGTATTCAATATCTGGTAAGAGCATCTCATTGAAAATGATGTTTCATGTGACTACGTTCCCTTCTACAAATAGTTTTCATTCTTCAGACTGTTTCATCTCCCAGTAAATTTGTCATCTGCTCTGAACTGTTTTGTATTTACTAATAACATATTTTTGTCTTGTCCAACTTTATCATTCAATGCTGCAGTACAATCATGAAATAATAATAATAATAATAATGAAATCATCCTCAACAGGACAGTACAAAAATTTGGAATTAGTCACAAATTACTCTTGAGAAATGTACGTTCCATACTTTTTGCACATGTTTTTTTTTAAAACGAAAATGGAAATGCTTACTTCATCCCTATCATCGACCTGCACTTGCTTATTTTCCAAAAACGACTGCAAACCTTGCAAGTTATCTTCATTTACATATCCAGCTAAAGAACGAAAGCATAGAGACACCATTGACTCCGATTGGTGAAGGGTCTAAAAACAAAAAAAGCAATTAATAAAAAATTCCATACTTTTTTTTTTAAATTAGTGCTAGCGTATTAATTCATTAGAGGTCACACGAAAAATCCAAACGTGTTTATTGTTATCCATAAAGAACTGTAAAAGACCGAGATGTTAACTGTTATGCAGGACTTGGCATATGTTAGTGTTAGAGTCGAAACGATCACTAACGTTATGTGAATGTCTCCTGAAACCGAGACCAAAGTAAAACTTTCGATTACTTTCTCCATCGGGTGTTGTAATTTTAAATGTCGGAAGATGTATGTGACTGAGAGACCTTCTCCATGGAGAATCTGGGATGTGCAGGTTTAAGAATGAAGTGCGCCTCTGAGGTGTCGTGTCCAAGACAGCAATGCTATGTCTCGCTTTGGGTTTTGATGGAGACAATTCCGACCGAAGTTTTGACACTTTGCAAAATTATTTTATTATTACTTTGATTAGAAAATGAAAATTTAGTAAACGTGGTTGATGAATAGTCAGAGAGAGTTTGTTACCTGGTCAACATTAAATTTCCTCGACGTTTTAAACATATTTCTCAATTAAAAGTGTAGTACTCAATACAAGAGAGATCATGAAACTAGCACATTAAGATTATTGTATCATGCCACTTAGTTTAAGCTCAGTTAAATTACAGCGGCTGTTGAATGCCTCACTAATTAGTGGCAATAATCCATTGAATGTTATAAACAAATATATTAACACTATTTGGCCGCCGTTATTAGCAAAGTAATAAAGTAAGTAACCGCTATAAAATTATCTAATAGTTGTACTAAATCATCGGCTATTATTACATAATTAATTACACAGTAAAGTAGCGATATTAACTATTTTATCTGTTCTCTAATTGATTAGTGGATCGATAAACATTTTTACGTTCGTGTCGTTTTTACCATCGAAGTACTGCCATATCCAAATATTGGTCGACCTTCTTGAAACAGATGAAGACATGAAATCATGGCGAATGTGTCACTTAACATTTAAAACTATTGCAAATTTCGCCCCGACCTTGACGTTAATAATCGTAAAAAATAACTGCGTTTGATTTCAATTTAATCACGCATTACGCCAATCATTTTATTATAGTTTGTCTTTCAGATCGAAGATATTTGTACATGGGATTGGACGGGATAATGGCTTGTAAAATTCACTGAAATATTACCTACTGTACAATTTGTAAGGTAAAATTCTTATTAAAAAGTAAGTAGTGTTTTCATTGCATTTTTTTTGTAAAAAACGGATTGATCGAAATCTATCACGAAAATTCTAAGTGAATACTGCCAACAGCTATCGGCTCTTAGTGCTGTTGGTAACACCAAACACTCATTTGATTTCTTTGTGAAACTAACATAATTTCAATGGTCTTGCAGTACCATATTGAGATTGTTCAAATTTTGCAACAAATGATTTCGACTGATTTTGTTCGTTACGGACTCTGAACCTCCAAATTCTAAATGTTGATACTTGCTATTCCCTCTATTATCATTTTGTGCACTCACCCTTTTCGTAATACCCGAGGTAATACCGTTACGATTTATACTTTTTCCGACAACAATTCAATTAGTTTAACTTCCGAAAAGACGCGCGGTTGCACAAAAAGCCTATTTCATTTTCCTTTTTGTGTTTCTTGCGATCAAGTTTTGAGATCGTGATGAGCCGAGCTAGGGTAATATAATATACACTAACTATTTTACCACTAACCTTACATACTAACTTTGGAAATGAACCTCTTTTTTCTCACTTACAGGTCAAGCTAAACATTTTACAATAAATGCGCTTTGGAAGAGCCCTCGACGATTAGAGTATGGAAACCACATGGCATTTTGTACCAGCAAAAGAAATAAGTTTTCCGTTATTTAAAGAATTCTTTTTGTCCTTTAGAAAGCGCTGCAATCAAAGATTACAGAAGAACGTGATTCAAGCACTCTGATATGATGTACAGTCATTGACAAAAGTAATAATCGCCAAATAGGTAAACCTAGCAGCATACGCAACCAACGAGAAAAAAGGAGCGGTTTGAGTTACTCATTACTCGTTCTTTTTTTTTCTCTGGCTGAATTTTCTTCAACTGACATCATCGCACAAAAGCTGTCGTTCTTTCAGTCTATAAGGCCATCCGCTCACGGGTGAACAGGTTTGCAACCCGAATAGCAAACTAGTTGAGCATACAACCGTTTGATGACCATAACTAGTGATGCAACAGACGTCTGCTTCCGCATCAGTAAGTGCGGAAGTTCTGAATCGTTTCCGCTTCCGCTTCCCATTCCGCTATTTTATAACGGAAGTATACCGAATTTTATAAATATGGCAACGCCGAACGGGACGGTGCGTGACGTGAGCCGCGGGCGGGGTTTGTCAAGCGAGAGGGCCATCAGACACAGCCGTCTATAATTACAAGCCATGCTGAGAAGTTTGGCAACGTTGTTCGAAAGTCAATCGGTGGGCCGATTTAATGGCGTCTTGTTGCTCTTGAAAAATGGCATTTTCCTCTCTCCTGTGTTTCGCCTTGGCGGTTTTAATATAGAAGAAAGATACTTAGGCAACTTACAATTGTGTTTACAAAAATGGATAATAACATTTTTATTTGACTTTAAAATTCGGAACGCTGTAAATTGGTAACTGCATCATAATGTGTTTTCCATCGAGATCTCCGAAATTGGTGAACTTCTGTCGAAAGAGGTCGAGGTGAAGCACACGCTTGGTGATTCGTAATGGCAGATTTTAAGCCAGTCGCTACTCCAGTGGATCTAGCTACGAAGCTTTTAAAGAGGGGAGCCCCGTAGACTTCAAATTCCCGTACTATGAACTCTTGGGAATAAGTTGAAAGGTTCCTTCAGAAAATCGATTTGACATGTCCGTGCTAGATTACCTGAAATACAAACTAATTGTATTTTTTCACGATAAACACTTACCGTACTTACGCACCACGTAGTGTGTAGGTCATATTTGAGCTTGTACAGGTACTTTGAACAAATACAAGTGCTTGAAAAGGGTCCAGCAAGGAGTAGCCTGCTTTAGAGGTTATGACAACAAATCGATGTATTTCGATTAGCAACTTACCTGAATAATAATTTCTGTTCATTCCATACAGAGTAACACAAATTGTCGCAATCTCACTCTGTTAAAACAGGTACATAGGGATATTACACCCAAAACACGTATAAAATACACCTGAAATCTGCCAAGTTGAATTAGGAAATCGGCCTACCATGCAGTGTTGTCATAATTCTCAGCACGGCTTGTAATTATAGACGGTTGTGCATCAGATGTGTCGCGGGTTGTTTGTCTTTGTTTACTTTCATTCATCTCATTACTTCGTCGCAGCAATTCGTGTGTTTTATCGCATATTATAATAAACTAAATTTGTATCAATAATTATTTTACATAGTTATTATGAAATTTATTATAGTATTACATTTCCGCTTCTCCTTCCGCAAAAATATTTTGTCTTCTGTTTCCGCTTCTGCTTCTGTTGCAACACTAACCATAACCATGTACATGAGTGGGGAACCCGTAGACCATGGGGAACCACATACGGATCGACATAAAGTGCATCAAATTTCATTTAAATAAGAAAGTGGGCACATGCGCAAAACCAAAATTTGAAACTGGGGTTAAATTTGCTTTTATTCCAAGTGGCTATGTATCAAATTTAATTTAAATCCCTTCATAAATAAGAAAGTTGGCACTGCCCATGCGCAAAACCAAATTTTGAAACTGAAGTTATATTAGGTTTTATTCCAAATGCATATGTATCAAGTTTCATTTAAACACCTTCAGAAATAAAAAAAGTTTGAAATTCGGTTCATAAATGACCGAAACGCCAAAAGGGCACTGTGAATGTTGAATCGATTAGACTCAAATTTTGGCATTGCGTATTACATGGCTAAAGCTATAATTATAACTAACCGAGATGTCAAAAGGGACATCCTTATTTTTTGCCTACATTATCACTTATCAATTTACGAAATACGATCTACAAATCTGATAAAGAATCCTCCTGCAAAATTTCATCGTAATTGGTCCATTTGTTTTCGAAATATCGTGCTAATGGCCGGACAGATACCGCAACTCGCTAGTAGCCCGTTAATAAACTGACATTGTGATAAACAAAGAAATTTTTTCAGATCGCTAATAGATTTGGCTGGATGCGCGATTCATACAACTATTTTTTCATCAAATCTTGCATTCATCAGGACCAGGTTCGTTCCAAGGTTTCCATATTTCTGAAGAAAGCGGGATTTGCCAAGCAGAGATAAGATCGATTTGTTACCAGAAGAGAATAAAACCCACGTCAATAACTATAAGTTATTTGAATTTTGTTTATTTGTATAAAGAAGTAGTCTGTTAATTCTAGGAATTTGCATAAGGAATTTTAATAATTCTAAAGGAATCGACCCGTGAAAATTGCTTGCATGAAACAGATTTTGTATCATAATGAATTATTGATACGAATCGAATCCAAACAAAGGATTTTGGTTATTTTGTTTCACTGATTGGAAAATTTACATTTAATTTCAGTGATACCATTCCTTTGGTTGGATTGAAATTTTGTTTAGCAGTCAGAGGTGTGTGTATATTTTGAACAGGAGCCAATAATTCATTACCTATGGTATTATAGATGAATCAAATTTAGTATGGACATCTAATCACGGAATGCATTTTTTGTATCCCTTTTTATGAAGCAAACGAATATTTTTGTAAATAGCAATTGATCCCCTTTGTTTGTACTAATATATTTCAATTAATTAAGTTCACATTAGTATTTATTCGAGTTCAATCAAACCAGAGTATTAAATTTTGAATTCCAGGTTTTAAGAAGAGATAAAGAGTCACGTTTAGGGTATAGCTCCCAAACGAAATAATTTAGACCTCCAGTGCATTTGGGAAAAACCCAAACCAATAAATTTAACTTAATTGGTATACACTTTGGTATACTAAATGTGTGTAATGTAAGCAACGCATGTCTGAGAAATAAGGATTGGTACTCGTCCACTAAAGCGACCTCTAGCAGGACGATTTAAAAAAATAAAGCCGGAAACAAAATAATTCTAGATTATTCTCCGCATGAATGTTTTGGTTGACTATTAAATTAAGAAAACGAACCGAATAACATAATTTTTCAAAACTAACGAAACAAAACCTTGTTTCCTTCGGTTCGGCGAGAATCCACTCCCTGGAAAAAAGCGTAAATGGGAACAACTAGGGTTTGCGAACTTTTTGGAAAATCAAACGTTTTAGATCGTCGGTTTGCGCTTATTATTCTGTACTTTTTAAAAAAAATCATATATTTAGCACTAAAAAAGGTATGATTTCTCTTAGGCTAAGCCGAGGGCTAAGCTATGCAGCCAACAAGAAACTCAAGAGCATGGCACACGACTTCATTAGTTGTTATTAGTAAAGTAAAATCAACGAAATTGATACTGTCGACCAGACACCGACATGCTAGTAAAATGCTTTACGTTTTTCGTATGTCACTCAGTAAAAAGTGAAAACTCAGCCTCGGTTACGTCTCGGCCGTAAACATAACTATCGGGTGAGGGTAGTATTTCTAATTTCCTACCTGAACGCAACAGAGCTTCTACAGCGGTAATCTCATAACAACTAAACCTGTTTTCATTTACTAATTAAGTATAGTAACATAAGTTCGACGTCGTTCGATACGCATATCTAGGCGGAAATAAGAGATTGGTGTCGATTTATTTGTGACCGATAACATGTACATAATTTCGTCTTCCTGTTCAAAGCTTTATCAATAGGTTATTGATTAGATTATCGCATGCCTCTTCATAATGATGGAGGTGATCTTTCTGTTGTCAGCTGATGTCAGAGCGACATTCAAAACCAAAGCACGCAGGTTATTTGCTCCATGGGATAGAACAAATAGGCATGTTTCAATTGACTAATTGAAAACTATAGCTGCTGTAGAAACAATTAAAGTGGGGAAGCCGGTGACGCTTGATCATTTATTCGAGATTAAATTTGGGAACTGCAAAAAGCAAAACTGCGACCAAATGGCAAAAACGATCAAAAAAATCTATTAGCATCTATTGCAGGTTGCATCTGTTTATATAGAACTGCGAGTCTCCATTTTGACCATCAGGTTTGAATTCAGTTGTACCGGTTTTACCATTGTCATTATTGACAAAAGTTTAACTAAATCATCATTACCCATACCTTGTAGGCTATTTATTGCCTTGATACGACTACTGTGAAGCGCTTAACGTTTATAAATACTTAACAGAAATGCACATGCCTTTTTTGAGAAAATCATCTAGAAACAGTGGCTCCCTCTACGTTGGACAAATTCCTCTTCTCAAACGCACTATATTTTAATAGGTATTCACCACAAAATGACACAAACAAAGGCACAACAAGAGTTTTTTTTTTTCATTTAAAGTGCACACACATCAAAGTGTGGTAGTTAAATATTTTCACACTACGTCCAGACGAGGTATATAACCAAAAATAAGGAACCATTTTTTTTAGCATAACCAGACAAATTTCCCCACGTAACGTAAAAGAAAAACCACAAACCCACCAACGCTCCCATACTTGCCGATTCATTGGATACGGTGCAATTAAACAGTTTCCCCACAAAATAATAAGTAGCATTCAGATGCTATTCACGAGATTAATAGTGTGCTTCAGTACGTACATACACCTATGTAATTATTTAAAATTGGCCCGTATAATTAACATAATTTACCACAACGTAGAATTAAAGAAAAGGCTAAATTATTCTATCGGGATTACCTTTCTTAAACTTGAACGTATCGCAATTATATTTAATAATCTCATGCATTTATGTCTATCCTGTCCCTGCCTGGCTGACATCAGTTGCTACTGTGTGCCCAAACCAACGCGAATCGAGCACCAGACAATCATTTCTGGGTAAAAAGGAATGAAAAGTACAACATTTAATTTAAATATGTGAACGTGATTCACCTTCACCTTCGTTTCTAAGGTAACAAATTGGATTAATGCCCGTTTCACAAAAAACGATGACAACCTATAAGGTAAGACGTTTCACATTCTAATGATTTTAATCATTCCTAAACCCTTATCATCGTTTGTGAAATCGGGAATTTTGATTTGAATTAAACCCATAATGTCTTAAACGTTATAAAACAATTCGCTAATTAACTCATAATATTACGTACAGGAACCGCACAACCTCGATAAAAACTCGCGAAGAAAATGTGTCAAGTGGGCCAATCAGGATCTGATTACAAACACGTATACATTGTGCACAACTCTTGTGCAGATAAAGAGCATTTTTTTAAAACCGAAATAGCTTTTGTTTTGACATCATCAATGTATATATTTCTTGCAGACGTCTCAATCGCCCTTTGTGAGTACCCTCTTCCGACAATCCGTTCTTGAGGTATAAGGGAATATACCCGATCACGATAAGAGGTCGAGAGGGGCTATGGCTGGTAGAAATTATTGCTTTCGTTGAGACCTTTCATTAGAGTACCATGATGGATAAAACTAGTTCCTCCCCTTCATCCCGTACTTTGATAAGAGGACAGAAAGAAGGACAGTAGTTGGTAGAAAACGGTTCCTTTCGCTGAGACCTTTAATTAGAATACAATTAGAGATACAATTTATTAACAAACAAATTTTTTTTAATTCTAAAAAAATGCGCTAAAAAATATACTATCCCAGACTAGTTAGTAATCACCAGATAAATTCTCAAATCGTACTCAGCAATCGCATAATGCTGAATATTCCATACAATCACAAGCGAGTAATACTTTCAAAAGAAATGCCGACATGGTACAGGATGGTCCAAATTGGACGCTTGCTTTCTTATGGGAACACCTTTTATTTTAAAAGAAACAAAAACAATGGACTTTCTCTTGCATTCTGGCTTGTTTAAAAGATTGGTTATGTACACGAAATGCAAACTATACGGTGACCACGTTTGCTTCAATAACAATAAGAAAAATGACAACTTTCATACAAAAATACACCTTATAGCTAAGCAAAAAAAAAACGGAACTCATTTACAATGAATGTACAATTTCCAAAAGAATGAAATCCAAAATTCCTTTAGATGTGTTCAAATAATGATCATTAAATACGATACAACTTCGTTCCATGCAACCTATCAATTTCTTTCGGAAAATATCACGAGTGATACTTTAATAAGAAATTTAATGCAAAAAGAACCGATCATTTTTTATACAAATAAAAAAAAATTACGTTACCTTAAATAAGGTGTTTCAGCTGTGTGTTACAGCTGGGCAATGATAAAATTTAATCTCTGGGGGAAATGTAGCTGACTCCACGTACGATTACAACAAAAGTTGTTAGAAATAATCGGGAAATGAACTTTTTTATTTATCCCGACTGCATTCAATCTGGCTTTCTACTTACGTCATTTCAAAGGGTACAAACGAATTCAAGGTCGAAACGGTTAATTTTTCGCTTTCAGTTTTTCATCAATCGAAACGCCATTTTAACTATGATTTATTCACCAGACACGTGTGTTTGTAGTTGAATAAATGTATGAGACAATTTTCAAAACCGATTTTTCCGTGTATGTGTATTTGACGAAGCCAGTTTATGACATGCAACTTTTTACTATAACATCTTATGAATCGAACGTCCGGTTAATTGGTTTTTCCACGAAACTATGCGTTCGCAGCTTAACGACGTTAATATTCCTTTTGACGATGTTTATTTCACAATTGCAATTGCGTGCGCGCTAACACTGACCCATACAATTCCACTTTAACTGTATTTTATAATCCGTCACGAACTTCATTTCAATTTCATTTCCGGAAATCGATTAATCACAATCTTCTCGAATTTGGGCTCACCGACAGTTTTCGTTTTTTCGCCAACATATTTTTTCCCACTTAGTCCCTTCCGCGATTAAAAAATTTCGAACGGAACTTCCCTTTTGTCTTTTATTCCGCGCGAGCTTAAAACGGAACAAATGCACAGTTCGCGACGAGCATCCGTTGTCGGCCAATCGAATGCCCTCATTCTTATCTATTTCTCGTCGATCGGTTATGCAAAAGGGAACCAACGAAGCTGGACGGTTCACTGTCTTCTAACCCACACATTCAAAACAAGCCTGCTTGTAACCGACTCGCGTCCACTATTCGTATAAAGCGATACATAGGCAATTTTACATATTCGTACTATAACTGAACTAAAGAAATTTAAAAATTAACCCGTAGGGGCCTCCCGTTACAGTGTGCCAAGATTTTTATTGGTTCACGTGTCTGAAAAGCAACTTTTTGGTAAAGAAAATTATCGAAGAGCAGTAGAGTAACAAACAAAAAGTTCAGATCGCTAACCGTAACGGCTGGTTAAAACTTAAAAGCAAGTTATTTAAAGTTGAGTGACTGCATTCGACAGTGCCTTGCGCGATGTATAAAATTTTGTATACAACTGGGAATTCGCAGACATACATTTACCCGTAACAAAAAACAGCGGAGTAT